GCGCGTAGCAATAATATATTTTTCTATTCTTGATATAAATCTGCAATTTTATAATTATTAAAGATAAAAAATTAGTATCTGTATCGTGCTATGAAAATCTACCATATCCTGTATAGTTAAAAATAATTATTTTTCTGTTTAAATTTCCTGTCATTTGATCATGTTGCTTAGCTTGATTACTAGTTCTTTTTTTATTAATAGAAGTACCAATAAAAACTAAGCAATAAGATAAATTTCTTTATTTAGTTTTATTAAATAAATTATAATTATATAATACAAAAAATTGTGGATAAAAATAAGTTGGATAACAATTTTGTGAATATACAAAAGGTTTTAAATGAATAAATTCGTGAAGAGAGAGAAGGTTTTTCTCTCGTTTTTTATTGATAAAAAATTGCTAGAAAGTTTTACGTTGAATTACGTTATAATATAAATTAGTAGTTTAAAATTCTTGAATTTGATTCGTCAATAATGGTATCAAAGTATTCTTCAAAGTATTTAAACTCCTGCAAAAAGTATTCGCATTTTTGCAAAAAGTATTCAGAATCAGCAACTCTGATTAGTCAGAAATCAAAGTATTCAAACTTTTGCAAAAAGTATTTCGCATTTTTGCAAAAGGTATTTAAAATGATATTAATAAATATTTAATTTAAAATAATAATTTATATTGATTACTTTAATTTTAAATTAGATTTTATATATGCATATATTTAATAGTTTAAATTTAGAGCAAAATTTTATATTATGATATATTGTTTATTTAATTTTTAAATTAGATTTTATATATGTATATATTTAATAGTTTAAATTTAGAATAGAATTTTATATTATGATATATTGTTTATTTAATTTTTAAATTAGATTTTATATGTGCATATATTTAATAGTTTAAATTTAGAGTAGAATTTTATATTACAATATATTGTTTATTTAATTTTTAAATTAAATTTTATATATACATATATTTGATAGTTTAATTTTAGAATAGAATTTTATATTGCGACAATTTTGTAAATATTGTTTGGTGATTTCTTCGATGATATTATTAGTCTTATCGAGAACAAATTTATGTTGTTTTAAAAATTCCTGATGTTTTCTGTCAAAAAGAGCATTTTGTTTATCACTCAATTTGATTTGAATATATTCAGTTATGTGTCTTTCGTTGTCAGGAAACAATGATTGGTCTTCAAAAATTTGTGTTTTCGTTCTCTCTAAACCATGTATCTAAAAATTGAGACATTATTTACTTAGAAAAAAATCTAATTGGTAATAAACTGATTAAATTTTTTTTCTTAAATTTATTAATTTATTTAAATCTTGTTTTTGATTTGTTTTTTACGTTGATTTGATGTTTTCGAATCGTTGATTCAGCTCGGTCCCAGCCTTACACAAAATCGACAAAAAAAACGTCTCAAAAACTTTTTTTTACCCACCCTGGTAATTTATTACCCTTGTTTAATTCAACTACCATGTTGAGTTGCCAGCAAGGGCTGGGTTTTGTTTTTGTGCCTGGCAAGCAGGCAGAAACTTTGAAGATCATCCTCGTATGCCATCTTGTGCAAAGCACTGTGACGTTTATGAGATATGATCCTCAAAGTTTTTTTTTAAAAAGAAAAAAATATAATATATATTTAAAAAAAATTATTTTATTAAACAATAAATATATTACATTCTCTTTTTTTTAGATTTATGAATATATTCTATTATATTTTTTTTATTTTTGATTATCTCATTAATTCGTAAACAAATATCCTTAGGTGCTTTCAATTTACTCTTTTCTTTTCCGGTTTTTCAATCATTCTTTAACCATTTATCGATTCTATTTTCGATAAACATCAAATATATGTTCTTGTTCTTTGTTTCAATCGTTAGTTTATCTTTATCTTTATCTGCTTCTAAAATTTGTAATATACGAATAAATTCATCTATATAAGATTTACTTGCATTTTCTGAATTATCAACTGATTTCTTTATAAAATAATGATTGATTAATCTTTTAGATATTGGTATTTCTAATCTAGTGAATTTCTTTTTTAAACCTAAGTATGCTAATCTATCAGCTTGTTCATTTCCATAATTTCCACTATGACCTTTCACATGATTGAAATAAGTTTTGTCTTTTCGTTTTTTGATTAGATCATTTAATCTAAAAACAAGATCTGTATTTTGTTTAGGTGTTTCATTGTTATACGAGTTAATCACATACATACTATCTGTATTTATAATAATATCTTGTTGTTCATCAACAATTTCTAATGCTCGAATAACAGCATATAATTTAGCTCGGTTATTCGTTTGTATTTCACCTGGTAATCTTTCAGATAAATTTCGATTATTATTATCTGCAAAAAATACACCTATACCAGCAATTGAATTTAATTTTCCTAAATATTGTTTTTTACCATTTATTTCTTTGCAATTGAAACAATAACCATCAGTCCAAACCAATAGTTTGTTTTTATCATCTATTTGTTTTATAAAATCTTCAGCCTGCTGTTTTGTATTAAATTTTTTATACAAAGCCCCAGGATATTCATGAATCTGTTCTTTATATTTTTCCCATAACATATAAATTCCTGGTTTACGACCAACACGAACAGCATAATAACCTAATATCGAATAATATGTAAGACTTGACATCCTTGCAGTCATTCAACGGTAGTTGAATTAAACAAGGGTAATAAATTACCGAGGTGGGAAATGAGAGTTAGTATTAAGTAAAAGAAGCAAATTCCTAAACAAAATACAGTTGGGATCTCTCTCACCTTTGATAATAATTTTTTAGTCTTAATAAATAGAAGATATTGGGTTTAAATAGAAATTTGATGCTAAACCACAAAATTTGTCGATTATTAAAAAATCTGATTGGATTCAAATTCTTTCAATATAGATAATGTAAGAGCATTTTCTCTATCTTTACACTATACACATATTTGATTACCCTGATATGATAGTAATAAATCTAATCCACCATCTCCTTCAGTAACTTGAATTATATGGGCAATTATCCCATTCTGGTTAAATAATTTACGAAGATCACTTTTGAAAGTATGATCTTTTGCCCAGTTTGATATCTAAAATAAAATAAAAAAATTAATAAAACATATTTTTCACTCCATGGGTTGTGGCGTCTACACGTTTGCGTTTCTAGCAAAAATGAAATTTATCCTCGAGAAAATTTAAAAAAAATTATCTTCCCAGAATAAATTCCTGATGCCTGAAAAGCAGCGTGCACAAATATGATTATTGAGTGAATATAACTCACCTTTTTATCAACTATTTCAGAATTACATAGTTAAAAATCTAACCGGTTATATAAATTTTCTTCAACATAAACAAACATTGTTTTTCGTTTAATTGTTTATGAATTTTCAAGTTTAAAAAAAATTTTACATTCTTTGACATTTATGATTAAAAAAACCTCAACATATATAAAAAAAATAAGCTTAAAATGATTAGTATGATTTTAGAATTTAGAATTAATAACCCTTATCATAAAATTCTTATCAGTAAACAATTAGAATTTAGAATTTAAATTCTTACAGAAAATTCTTTTACAAATAAAGAATTTCCTTTCATAGAATTAGTAATGTAGAATTTAGAATTTAAATTCTTACGGAAAATCTTTTTACAATGTACTAAGAAAGAATTTGATGATTTACAATTAGCAATAAGAAATAGACAACACAATTTAAGAATTTCTTTTCATAGAATTATTAACGGAAAAACTTTTTTTATGGATGTGAGTTTATTCTTTTCATTGTTAAAAAATAAATTTTATTAAAATTGTTCGATGAAATTAAATAATTTTTTACTGTAATACAAATATTTTGAATACTTTCAAATGTTTTGATTCTTGATTTAAATATTCATTATAATCTTTTTTATGAAATTTTAATAAATGATTTTTAATATTTGTATGGGATGTTTTAAATGAATATGATTTATCACAAATATTGCAAATAATTCTTGTTTTAGAAGTATTAATACGAAAATATTTATAAATTCTATCAGTTTTAATATTCATTATTGGTCTTGGTCTGGTCTTGGTCTTTTATATATATTTTTTACGGTCTTGGTCTGGTCTTGGTCTGGTCTTGGTCTTTTATATATTTTTTTATAAAGTATATATATTTATTATGAAAATACTAGAAAGCTTTAATTATAGTTTATATAAAATTGTCTTAATTATAATTTATATGTTTTACAAAAAAAACTTTTTAGAACTTATTGCTAAAAAGAAAAAAAAATCTAAAACATAACTAAATTAATCAGATATTTCGTTGTTTAAAAAACTCGTATTTGTAGAAATACTTTTTACAAGAATTTGAATACTTTTTGCGAATATGTTTTGCAGAACAAAACTAATAAGATTTGGAATTTTTTTTAAAAAAATTGTTTTTTTTAATTAGTTTTTTTGTTTTTTTTTTTTAAAATATAATTTTTTTTTGTATTTTTTTTTATTTTTTAATGTTTTTTTTTTATTTTTATTTTTTTATGAAAATTTTTTTATAAAATTTTATTGTTTTTTTATTTTTTATGTTTTTTGAATTTGTTTTTTTTTATAAATTATATTTATTAATAAAAATAAAAAAAAATAATAATTCAAATAAAAAACCTTATTAAAAAAATATATATATATATATATAGTATTTTATTTTTTCTAGTAAGTATAAAATGAGTTCGATATTGTCAAAAGAAAATGAAGCTATTTCGAAAATAGAAACT